TTGATCCTTGGATAAATGAGATGAGGACCAGCGTTACCAGTACCCCATTCCAAAACAATTCCATCTATCTCTAAACCAACATGGAACATTCCATATTTGTTTCTAAACACATCTTTTGCAAACATACGAAAAAATGGGCTATCAGAACGCGCAATCTTACTAATAAAAAAATAAACGTTGAACTTGTCGGAGTTTCTTCGGTGTTCTAATAGGCAGTTTAACATGTTCCTCCTCTCTTTCTCGTTTGGAGTAAAATTCTTTTCTTGAAGATCCTTTATTTCCTGCAAATCCCTAGTGGCTTGTTCCAAATTTTCGTCGTTGTAGACTTCTTCAAGCTTGAGAAATCGATCCAGAAATATTTTTTCGTCTCCGAGACTGTTTATTAAATTATCGAGCTCTTCCTCGGATAGTTCGCCCAGTGAATTTCCTTCTCTTTCTAGTAATTTATTTTTGATTGTATCATACCAACTTAAAGTGGTAAGCTCCTGATGAGTTTTATAGATTTTTTTTGAAACATTGCCTGAATCCTTCTTCAAGCTGTTACTTGAATTATTGGAGCTGTTACTTGAATTACTGGATCTGTTACTTGAATTACTGGAGCTGTTACTTGAATTACTAAAGATGTTACCCATTTTTTACGGTGGTGACGACCGGACATACTAGACATTTAATAAGTAAATAAAGCATCTTTATATACTGTATGTATTACTATCGGCATAGAGTTTCATATCTTTATGTACAATGGCTTTCATCAAACATATTTGATTATGTGTACATATAAATCATTTAATGATTTAATTAATTAAGGCTTAATCTTTTATGCAAATTGAATTGATATAGTGGTTTTTAGTTAATCATGATTTAAATTATGATTAAAGTTTTTGATGTGTTTTTTCGAAAGTCAATTTGTAAATAAATTAAAAAAATAAATTATTTTTGGCCAAAATATAATTAACTATTGTTGTAAAAGAAGATAAGAATAATTAATCAAGTACTACTTCCAGGATTATATTATATTATACCTATTGTGAAATAAATATTTTACAAAAAAGATATATAGTACATAATAATAATTTTTTTAAAACAAAAGTAATTTATATGAAATTTTAAATTTTTCAATTTATTTTATTTTTTTATAAATATATTCTTATAATATTGTTTTTGAAAAATATATATTATATAATATTAAATTAGAAATATAATATATTCTAAGATTTTTTTATAAGAGCTTTAGCAATTAAATTATTAAATATAAATATTAAAATATCTTATATAACAATTTTAAGATTTAACAAGCTTGAATTATAAAATTATTTATTTTAAAACCTATTATATTTATTATTGCCTATTTTATTTAAGCAAAAAATATTTTAATTATAATTGTGTTTTTTAATAAAATATTATTTTAATTATTTAAAAAAATTATATTAAAATTTTTATATAAAAAAAATTTTATATAAGGAAAAAAAAAATTTTTTTATTTTAAAGAAATTATAAATATAAAATTTTATATTAATATTCTATAAAAATATATAGTAAATTAAAATTATTGAACATGAAAAACTCTTTCTTATTCCCTTTTCTACACTTGAAAATTTCATTTTTAGAAAATCTTTAAATTGTTTACTTTTTTTTATTCTCTTTTTCTTCTTTTTACTTTTCTTCCTATACTCTTTTCTCTTCTTCTTCCTTTAATTTTTTCATTTTTTCTATAAACTTTCTTTTATATATTTCTTCTTCCTCTTCTCTTTTTCTCTTTTCTGCTGAAGTGGGATTTTTCTTCTTTCTGAAGATTTTTTTTCTCTAGACTTCTTTCTTCTTTTAATATACTGTCACTTATCTTATTATTCTTCTGATCAGTGAACTTCCTTTTTTTAAGAACCATATAAGAAGCAATAAAGTTTTCATAAGACATAGGCTTTGGAAATTTTTTCTCTTCCATGATTTTTCAAAAAAAGGACAAATGGTTTACATCCTCCAAAAGATCTACATATATGATCTTTATTATCTAATTTAATATTATTTACTTGTTAATAGTTAAATTAGATACATCTAAAAAACTAGTGTACAATACTAGTTGAAATTGATTTATTTGATATAATGCCACTCATTAATTATTTATTAAAAAAGTATATAATTCAATTAATTAATCAAATTTATATAATTTTTATCTTCAGCTATAAAACAACATATAATTTATTTGATACATAAATAATATATTTTTTTTAAAATATTATTTTATTAGAAATTAATATTTCAACAATAAAATGGAAATTTTATTTTTTGTATTAAATATATATATATATATACAGTATATTGACTTTGCCAAATTATATTACTTTAACAAATTATATCACTTTATGAATTATATTATTTTGCTAAATATATATATTGCTAAATTATATTACTTTGTCAAATT